AAAGCCTCCCGGAGAGCTGCTGCTGCCAGCTCCGCTCTCAGGGAGGCTTCGCTGCATGCTCTGCAGCCAGGTCCCAGGGAGCCAACATGTAACCTGCGGTGGAGGAGAGGTGCATGACCGGACCCCACTATGGACAGGAGTCGCTCCGGCAGGCACCAGGGGGCTGGAGCTGCCCCCTGCTTGGGGTGGGCGGGAAGTTGCTTCAGCCCCTACTGGTTATCTGGAACCTGTAAGTATCACTGATTAACATCCTAGTTATAGGTCACTTTAAAAACAATGAGAAAACCAGTCTGATTTGTCTCATTGTTAATACTCCATCATCTTTCCTTGCTAACTTCTGCACTGGCTGTATTTGAAGAAAATAGGTTGTAGTTAATCGAGAGTATTATTTTTCATTGAGAGTTTTTTGGGCACAATTCTACTCCCAATTAAATTTTTGCCTTTGGCGCCAATGGGAGCAGAATTACGCAGTGTGAGCTATGATTCTCCTCTTCTGTACGCTGAGGTGGCAGCAGTGATGTGGACTTAATTGGATTTACCCTCAATTTATTTTGTACGCATGAGCATATTGCCCATACTACTGGCTGGTTGCAGCGTGGAAAAGTATGTACTCTTGCAAACATTCTGCACCAAAAAAATGAAAAAATTCTGCAAATATGTTAGAATTAATCAAGATTCTTCAAATTTTATTTGTCAAATTTACAATACATAACCATGCCAGTTTCAGTTCTTTGGTAGTTTCAAAATAATAGTCAGCCAGCATGTCTGTAACAATACAGACATAGGCAAAAATTGCCCCAAGAGTAGAGGTAAAGAAACCCCTATAACAACCCACTTTCTGTTTCTCCGCACCCTCACTCTACCCCCGTGGTCACCAACCTGTCAATTACAATCAACTGGTCTATCGCGAGGGCTCGACCAGTTGATTGCGAGGCATTCGGGACCCCACCCCCGTTTCCCTCCACCCCCAAGAAGCCCCACTACCTACCCCCAGTGACAATGTAGATAGTGCCGGTTTCCTGTGCGGTGGACGGAAGTCCTGCAGCTGTGCGCCACTTCCGGGGTTTCCAGAAGAGCGCTGGCTGCTCCCCTCCCCCAGGTCGTTGTGTGCCGGGAACTTGCAGAGAGTGGGGGGGAGTCCCCAGAGGAGGCGCACGCCGGGGCTTCCCTGCTCTGCGGGAGGGAGGGGTGAGGAGTCCTGGGAGGAGGCAGGTGCGGGGGACTCCCTGTCCCCTGCCCCCAGCAACACCCTGTTCTCTGCCTCCACTGGCACCCTGTCCTGTGTCTCCCACTGGCACCCTAATACCCCGTCTCCTGCCCTAGCACCCACTAGCACCCTTCCCCAGTACCATGTCCCCTGCTCCCACCAGCACAGTTGGGGCCACATTTATGAGGCTTGGGTGGTTTTTGGAGGAGTTATTTTTTTGCATCTCACTTGTGTGGCCCCCAACTCACTTTTCTGTGGGTCAGTGACTCCTGACTCAAAACAGGTTCTCTGCCATTCTCATAAATAAAGCAATGCAAAAACTTTTTGTGTTTGACACAGTATTTTATTTAACAATGAAGCCTGGCCAGCAAGCTCCCAACTGGGGCCAAGCCCCCATCTGGCCACAGCATCATAACACTCCTGCACTCCCTCCCCCCCAGACACTAGATCTGAGCCTATCATACACTGGACCCCCCTGCCCTGAGCACTTCACATACCCCAACCCAAATTCCTGCACCCTCACATCCACAAGCCTGTGGCTTGAACCCCAACTCTCTGGAGCCCCCTCCCCAAGCCAGCATCCCCTTCTCCACCTCCTCCTGCATCCAAATATCCTCCCAGAGTTTACACCTCTCACCCCTTCCCACACCCAATCCCTCATTCCTACCCCAGAGCCCATACATCCTGTCTTAACCCAGTAAGAGTACGGCTAGACTGCAGGAGTTTTTCCAGGATTCCAGAGATATCCCATTAAAACTCCTCCGTATCCAGGGACGCGTTTGTTCTTCCGCTTTTTTTAGTGGAAGAGCAAACATGCTCTTTCGGTAACACCTGTATTCCTCGTTCTACGAGGAATAAGGGGGCTTCCAAAAGAAGGTGTTTTTCTGACATTTGGTCCACTCTAGACAGACCAAATGTTGGAAAAACCTCTTCCTATAGAAGAATCGAAAAAAAAAGTGGCTGTGTAGAGTGTATAAAGATTGGGGATAGCAAGTGATGGAGAGGAGGAGAATAGAGAGGGCAGGGCTTCAAGGAAGGGGTGGGGTCTTGAGGGAAGGATGGGGTGGTAGATCTTGGCTTGTTCCGACATTTAAAAAGTGATCTTGGTTGTAAAAAGGTTAGAGACCACTGCTCTACCCCAAGCCAACTAGATACCCACAGTTCTCCCCCACCCCCAGCCAATACACCCAAATCTCTCCTCCCTAGAGCCCATCCGTGGGGGCCCTCAGCCCAGATATCTGCAACCCTTCTACTCCCAGAGCACAGGAATCCAGAGAGAAAATTTGATGCTCGGTCCCAGGCTTGCACAATTTCCTGCATGGAGCCCTCTCTCCCTCAGGGCATGCTGGAAACTGCAGCTGTCAGGAACCCTCTAGCTCAGCAGCGGGCAGCCTAGGCTTGTGAGTGGGCCACATGAGTGGCCATCTTTCATCTCAGTGAGTTTCAAGAGTGTCATCATAACCAGGACGGTCTCTCGGAATAGGGTAGTTTTGCTAACTAGCTGTGGTGTATTTCAGTATGCATTTTTCAGTTACCTTAATATCAATTAAAATACAGATTTAACCTATCCCTCAGTTTTTAATTACCATGTTATTCCATGACCAGGTGCTTCATCATCATTATCAAGATGCACAGGATATCACGCAGTCCTATAAAGAATGTGACAGGTTGAGTATAGGGATACTAAGGTGTAGTCGTTTACATGATTCACTGATAAGCCTAGGCTTATCGGATCGAATGACTACATGCACCCTCTTTGCTGCCTCTGTATCAGAGGCAGCAAAGGGGGAGGGGGAACTAGTGCCACCCCGCTCTCCCTCCTCCCCACTGCCTCCCACAGAGGCAGCAGTGCAGATGGACAGGAGGGAGCCTGGATTTTTTTCATGGTTACCTATACCCCAAAGATGCTAGTATAGATAATGAAATGGTTCACAGGAAATGGACAATATCAGAGTTAAGAATTGTTGAAAACAAGGAAGTCAGTGCACTTCAGAATTCCGGTGTAGAATTTCCTGATTGAAAGAAGTATTGGGTGTCAACTATCTAAAGACTATTGTAATAAACAGAGAGAGAAGATGGAAAAGGTAATATCTTTTATTGGACCTGCTTCTGTTGGTGAGAGACAAGCTTTCAAGCTACAAAATGGCTTGTCTCTATCATCCATAGAATTTGGTGCAATAAAAGATATTACCTCATATACCTTGTTTCTCTAATATCCCAGCGCTGACTCAGTTACAGCTGTACTGCATAAACCAATAACGAAAGACAGATTATCAACCCTTCATTATACAGAGATCAGAGACAAGTCTTCCCACAGCAGGCCTCATCGTGTGCTTACTAAAGTCAATGGCAATATTGCCATTGACTTGCAGGCTGATCCCAGACACAAAGCCCCTTTACTTTTCAACTCAGCCCGAGAGCCACTGGTTGTCTACATAAGGCAAAACCCTAATGCTGAAAGTATTACACAGTAAGAACTATTACAAAAATATTGTATATACAGCTAAGTACTCAACGTAACTATGGGAAAAAATGGCTAAAAGTAATGTATATCGCAAGTCTGGAGAACTGCAGGCCCGGGAGCCAGATTCGGCTCCCAGCTTGCCTCAATCAGGCCCTGAAGCTCAGGGCCCCCGGCTAGCATTGGGGAGACCACACTGGTGCTCCAGTCCTTTTAGCTGCCCCACCGTGGGGCTGGAGCACACAAAATCTACTAGGCTAGGCCCCCATAGACTCTGATGTACAAGAGGAATGTGGAGCATGTCTTCTTTTCATTGGGGCCAGTGAGGGTTGGGGTTTTTGGAGATTATTTTTTGCTTCTGACTTGTGTGCGACCCCCGACTGATTTTTCTGTGGGTCAGTGGCCCCCAACCCAAAAAAGATTCCCCACTCCTGGTGTATAGTATTGTTTTTCCTTCAAAAACACTTCCTATCTTTCTCTTCCAGAGGGTATGTCTACACTGCCACCCTAGTTCGAATTACGGTGGTTGTGTAGACATACTCTTATAGATCTTAATATTAAGCACTTAATAGAGTTTCACAAGCAAAACTTTGATTTGATTTGGAATTTTTATCCTCAAGTGCTCTCATTTGGAATTGCAGTTTTTGAGGTATTGATAGTAACATCCACTAGAAGGCATAACATTAGATAAATTACCTACAATAGTGTATACATTCTTTCCAAGCCCTATCATCTTGTGGTCAGCAACTGGATGCCAGTATTGTGTGTATGTGTAGGTGTTGCTGTAAAAATCCTTGAAATATTTTTTCACTAATATAGTGTTGAAACCAAATTTAAAAATATAATAAACTAAATGTAGTCCAAATGACTTGAGAAATTAATAATCAGTATAAATCAGTTATTCCAATATGGATTTTTCATTCACTTTTTAAAAGAGAATTATGTAGTGTCACTAAAGAAATACTTAAAATTGCAGACAAGCAGTTTTACAAAAAACTAAGACTTGGAACTCAGTTCCCCCACAAAGTCACATTGCTAATTCCACCTCAAAACAGCCAAAACAAAGAGCTCTGCTTCCATGTTCTACAAGTTTCTTCTGTCCTCTCCCAAAATTAAACCAGATGGATGAAGAAGTCTTTGAAGATGAGATGTGAAATATGATACATCAGAGGCAGGGAATCTGGAACAAAATATGTAGAAAATGAATAAATCTATCAAAACCTAAGACTGAAACTAATGTGCGAGTAGGCAGCTTTCCCAGCCTGCTGTACCAGTACAATCCAGATGTTATCTAAAGTCCAAACTAGACTCATTCCTGGGGTTTGGCTTTATTAAAGAAACCAACATTAAGGTAAGAAAGCTCAACTCAGATCTGCTCCTCAGACTTGGCTGCTCCTGTGGCTCATTTGTTGGCCCACTTCCTCCAGACACTTACCTCTCTCTTCTCCAAGAGGAGTAGTTATTAATCTTCTTCATTAGGCAGCAGTCCATACATGTTTATCAAAGCACTCAAATCATAATTAAGTCCCACCAAATAGGGTTGGATTTAGATGTGTGCTTAAATGCTCTGCTGAAATTGGGCCCAAGTCAGAAAAACCACCTTCGGTTTCCTTCAAGTTTCTGGTGCTTATAGATAATAAATAATATATAGGTAATGATAATTTTTAAAGAACAGGATCATATTAAACAATTTGAATGGGTTTTTTTGCCTCTTGAAACTTAAAATAGTTTGAAACAGTAAATGATGTTTGTGATTTTAATTATAGTTTTTGTGATTTAAATCGCTGGCATTTTGAAGCACATTTTAAAACTGTTGAAAATATCTACTTTGTAGTTAATGCTGAGGATTTTAATTCAAAAGTGTGTATGATACACTGAAAAAGGAGCTGAAAGTCCTTCTAGTTAGAAGAACTCAGGAGACAGTATCGTAGACAGTTTTTCTAAGAGTGAAATGTATGCTGGAAACAGTTTTTCCAATAAAACTCTTTTACATTCTTTCAGAAAGACATTAAATATCCCATTCCATCCCAGTACTGCTGTAAGTTTTAATAGCAGCAGCAATGAATGTTTATTGTATGAGATTGTCATGTATTGGAAGCACGTTTTTTATCTTGTGGTTACCAGGACCTTAGATTGATCATCACTTTCAGTCATGCTGTCTCTAGCATTATTTGATTTGATACTAAGACCCGGTAATTTCATAAGGGTTTGATCCTGCAAACATTGTGGAAGTAGAATGCAATTTTCACAGTTGCAAATACATATCACCCACTACTAGACCCAAATGTGTTTGTTAGACTGGGCACAATTCTCTGATTCTCCAGTTGAACTCAGGCAGGTAAAACCCTATGCAGAATGCCCCCACTGAATCCAAAGGGCATCTTATCTGGTTGCAGAATGAAGGCTTGTATTTGTAATAATACCCTCTTTCCTCCATCTGATGTCCTCTGAATGTGTTTAATTGCCTTGATTTTAAATATTGGACCAGTGCTTATTATTATTTGAAATGCCTAATCAAAAGTTAAGTTTTGTAGTTTGTAGGAGACCTCTGAAGAATGCTGCTGATTAACTAATTTTTTTAAAAAAAATGTTGAATGAATTATAATTAGAGCTGGATGAATTTTGGGGGGCAAAACTTTTTGGTGAAAAATGCAAATTTGCTGATATCTAAATGTTTCAATAATTTGTCAGTTCAACTGAATTGTTCATGTTAAAAAAAAAGGACAACATACCCAACATAAGTAAAAAAAAAAAAAAAAGACATTATTTGTTTTAATATTTCTAGAAAGAAACATTTAGATTATTTTATTCAAAATTACTATTTCCTTTTATTTTGAAATGTAGGTAAATTCTCCAAATTTAAAGTGTTTCACTTGACCAAAAACAAATGTTTTGAAATTTTTCAGATATATTAGCAAACCAAAAGATCAATTATTTATACAGCTCTAACTATAATTCACCATCAAAAACAAAATTGCAAGTTAAAGACTATGAGTTAGACAATACTATCTCACAAAAAGACAGAAGAAATACTATTGCAGAATATTAATAATTTATTAAACAAAAATCATTTTATATCTTCATTCTCAGCTTTCTCAAGAATAACTTTGGAGCAATTGCTAGGATCTTTAACCTGAAATACTAGCTTCTAACGTTATATGCTCTAGGTATAAATGTTTGTTAGAATATGACATTGTTTTTGGTCAAGGTAAGAATGGCGTTGAGACCTACCAACTAACTAGCATTACCAATTTAGGGCAGACTCATTCTTGTTACTGTTCCACAAATACACACAAAAGCTTGTGCTTTTCTTTTTCGTTTCTGGATTAATTCCTCTCTTTTGAGCTAATGTTCTCTCTGGGATCTCTCGAATTGAGTAAAATTTCCCCTGAGACACCTATAACTGATGAGTGCGAAGATGAGAAATTAGGCTAATTCTGGCAAGGAACACACTCTGGCAGTGGCTGCACGTGAGATCTCTATCACCAGCGGCACCAATTCAGACCCGGGACTCCTTACGTTGGACTCTCTGATCATATTAGTCAGTGGTCGGTCCAGCAGCCATCAGCATTGATCATAGCGTGAGTGATGCGGACATCAGTACAATCCCGAGACTAGACAATGACATAAGCAAGCAGGTCCCAATTGTGGGTGTCACTAGGAAGACTTGAAACAATTCTTCTGCTGGAACAAGGTGTTCATTATAACAAGATCATGGTCAGCATAGAGCGTGAGAAGGAGGAGATCATTGGAGTTCATTTTTCCTATACATTCTCTCCCAGTGACACCATTCCACAGGTGGTAGTCAGTACCAATTCTGGCACTGAAGTTCCTGAGAAGTACAAACTTGTCCTCTCTAGGGACACCTCTGATGATGCTACTGCGTTGAAACATTCCTTAGTATCGTTGTCAGTTTGTAGGGTGGGAGCACAAGTGCTGACTACTGTTGCGAACTGATTGTTGGCCAGCTTAAGACATAATGTCATTATACATTTGCTGACACCAGTGTTCACTGAGGCTAAGCATAAGACTATTTTTAATAGCAAAGCTGACACCATGCATGCACAGTGCTCATCTTCGCATTTATGTCTCCAAACGAAGACATAGCCACCACTGATTTCTTTAATCTGGCCCTCATCAGCTAACTGGGTCTCATTCAAAGCATGGACCATCAACATTGAACCTCCTCGGCTCTCGGGCAACAAAAGCCATTCGGTGCTCAGAAGTGTGCCCCGCTGCTGTAGCTGTGATTGAGCAGTCCTATTTAGGATCCACTCTGATCATCCCAAATGAGTTGAGGACTAGAAAAGGTGCCCTAAAAATAGTCTGTCTCAACCTAACCTGCCTGGTAACCTTGGCCAGGATGGTGGTGTGGAGGGAACACCTTTCAATTTGTGGGAGCAACAATAAGAAGAGAAAAACATTTACATTTAGATTTGGAACCTGAAATGTCAGGACACGGGTGGACAGCGACAAGTCTGAGCTAATGTTAGTCTATTAGTGGTTCTACTTCACCAACCTTAGTGGGGACAGAACTGGGTTAAAGCCATAAACTTTAATGAAAGTAGGATTGACATTGTAACAATCATATTCCAGTTGTATGGGTTTGTCAAATGAGATCTGATGTAATTTTGAAAAATAAGATGTACTTATAACTGTTCACTTTTTAATTTCATTAAAATATTTGACAGTATTTAATTTCAGTGTTATTTGTTGAATGTATTTTTACTCAACATACGTAGATTTTTCTTTCATTAATCTGTTTGACTGATTAGTTTAAAGACTTAAATTCCTAATTCTTAAAAACTTACATTTGGTCTGTGCATATAGACGTTCAAACTATCAGTAATAAAGATATTACAGTCCTTTGATTTACATTGTTATAGAAGAATTCTGTCAACATCATGGATAGACTGAGTAACCAACTAAAAAGTATGGGCCCCTGATTGGAATTTAGCAAACAGTAGTCAGAAATCTTGTGAAAAGAATAGTGGTTGTCTTAAAAACTTACATTTGGTCTGTGCATATAGACGTTCAAACTATCAGTAATAAAGATATTACAGTCCTTTGATTTACATTGTTATAGAAGAATTCTGTCAACATCATGGATAGACTGAGTAACCAACTAAAAAGTATGGGCCCCTGATTGGAATTTAGCAAACAGTAGTCAGAAATCTTGTGAAAAGAATAGTGGTTGATTTACAGGAACTTGATGGTGGAAAAACACAAGGAAAAAAAAAAAAAAAAGATCTGGGGCAAATGATATGGTGTCCTCGGTGGAGCAAAGGGATTATTCTTCCACAAGTAGATTAGCAGATTATTCTACAGAATGGACTACCATGTTTGCAAGTTTCCAGTAATACAGATAACACATAATAAGCAAGGGAAGAAAAAAGTCCATCACTTTTACTGAGTGATATAGGTGTTCAACTTGCAGAGTTGGGTCCTAGGTTTGTAACTGCTTGTGGAAGTGGTTATCTGTGCATGCAAACAAGCCCTGTGCAATCACATGCTTAAGAGTTTGCTGGATAATGGCTTTAGGTGCATATTCTCATCTTCTAGCTGTCTTTGTGTAATTCACTAATACTAATGAGCCTTACATACCACCTAAAAGAGCCTGTATTAACATGGAATGTCTTGCAATGTCTATCTTCTATGGAAAGAGAGTTTTTATAGTCTGAGCACAGGATATGGAAATACCTGTCAGCCTATTCTACAAGTTCTATTAGCTTTTTACCTAAATCCTTTTGGTCTTCAAGAAAGAAGAATTAGGGACTGAAATTCTTAAGCCATTAAAGCTGGTAGCAAAATTCCCATTGCTATAGCCAAAATTTCACTTAGGAATTTTTGTGTATTTATCATTTACTATACTTGAAAACTATGCATCAGCCTTGTAAAATTATCACAAAAATTTGCTAGCCTAGACACACATTTCCTTTCGCTTTCTTACAGTCATGACTTAAAAAACCCAAAGAATGTACCCATTCCTCTCCATCCCCCAAAACACAAACCCATAGTTTTTTTTCTCAATCCTTACTAAGATATGATTTCCACTGAAGTCAGGAATAAAGGGAAAGTTGATGAAGAACCTCTTGAATAAGCCCACTGTAAATGTTGAAGTACATTCCTGTGTTGATATTGACATTTTATTAATACTGAACATTTTGAAACAAATGTTATATGCTTTTGTCCATTTACACGCTCGCTTCCAGTTTATAAATTGGTTTTCAGAGACATTAAAACAAAACCTATGGGATTTCTATTCAGAAGACTTAGGCAGAGGATAGAATGGTTACTGTTTGCCTGACACTGACCTCATTTATGCTATACCTTCTAATGGCAGGTAACATTTTCAAAGTTTAAAAAAGCTTTACGCCACAAGAAATGAATTAAAATGATAATGTTCACAAAGAAAATGGTTTACTTTTTTAAAAATATATTCCTGTTAACAAATAAACAATGAAAGTGTGTTTGTTTTGCAGAGTGTAGGTGCAGAGACCATGAATGAAAATAAATTTATGACTGTAGATCCGGGTACTGGGCCAATAGAAGCTGCCATCAAACCATTGCCATTTAAGGATCCAAGCTTCATTGTAAGTATTTCAACAATTAGTTATTTCATTTAAAATTGAAAATATCTAAGATACTATATTACTGCATTGCTAATATTCCAGTTAAGAAGTCCCAAAGGGATAGCTGTGTTAGTAACTGAAAAAACAAATTGTCCTGAAATGTCCCTCTGCCATGTATACTGGCCAAACTGGACAGTCTCTATGACAAAGGATTAATGGATACAAATCAGATATTCAAAATGGTAACACAAAGAAACCTGTTGGGGTAAATTTTAACCTGCCCAGGTACTCATTAAAGCAGGCCTGGGCAAATATGGCCCGGGGGTCGGATCCAGCTCACCAAGACACTGATGCAGAGAGATACAGAGAGGAAACTCTGGCACACGGATGCAGAGAGGAAACTCGAGCAGACTCCCTTGCTTGCCCTGCTTCTCTCCCTCTTCCCCCCTCCCCACCACCACTTAAAAAAGCAGCTGCCACAGTCATTTCTCTTTCTGAGCTGTGAGCCCAGGGAGTGGGGAGTGGTGCCTCCTGTGCTGCTCCTGACCCCAGCACAATCCCATTGGCTGATTTCTGGCCACTAGGAACTGCCTATTTGAAAAACAGGAAGCACACAAAGCACCAGTCCCCCCTCTCCTCAGACTCTTGGTCCCGAATGCACATGGCCTCTGCAGCCTATGTGGGGGTGGAGAAGGCAGGGAAGCTGCCTGAGAATTCTGCTGGATTGCTGGCCAGGAGTCACTCAGATATGTCTCCTGACCACAGTCTACCTCTGGCACCCCAACTCCTCACTCCCTCCAAACCTCTACTCCTGGCCCCTTTCCTCACATAATCCAAACTCTGTGCCTCCTCCTGAACCCATACCCCCTCCCAGACCCTGCACCTCAATCCTCTGTCATAGGTCACAACCCAAACCCCTGCACCCTGTTCAGTGCCCCAAGCCACAACTCCCTCCTGCCCTGGGTCACATCCCAAACTCCTGTACCCCTTCTGCACCTCAGTCCAGGGCCCCAGGTCACAGTTGCCCCCTTCACCTAAACTCCCTCCCAGACTCCATACCTCCTCCTGCACCCCAGTCTTTACCCCAAGCTCCCTTCTGCACCCCACTTCCATCCCAGACCCCACACCTCCTCCATTAATGGAAGAGTACGGCCCTTGACCAATTTCCAAAATCTTGGAGTGGCCCCCCATCAAAAATGAATACCGCCTGCATTAATGGATCTAAAGTTGACGATACTATTACGAAGCAATTTAAAAAACAGCTTGAGATAGAAGCTGCGAAAGTTGCTTTCATTTACAAATTTGACACCTTTAATGAAGGTTTGAACAAAGACCTGAACTGGATAGGCTGCTACATTCAACACCCTAATCACCTAATGACATCAAAAGCTAAGTACCAGGCACTTACAGCCCACTCTATTAGCCTCATTTAGCACAGACACTCTAATTGATCATCCCCTTTTTTGTCTCCTATGTATTTGTACCTCTGGACCCCTTGTTCCTTTCTTCTGAAGAAGTGGGTTGTGCCCACGAAAGCTCATGATACCATCTACATTTTTATTAGTCTCCAAGGTGCTACAGAACCATTAATTGTTTCTTAAGTTATTCCAGTTAAGAAAGTAAGATTAGGAGCCAAATCAAGGGTCCATATCATATGATTCATTTTTAAAGAAATTCAGCTTCAAAATCCGTGCCAGAATATGGCCAAAGTGTGCATTAAATTACAGAACGTGAAAATGACGCTAGTTCAGAGGCAAGACTTCTTATATTAAGTCTTGAACCAAAGCCAGAAAAGCACTGCTGCTAGATCAGTGTACCTGTAATGGTTTTATGGTGTGGTATCTCACAAGCCATCAAGGCTAAAAATGAACCATTGTAAATCTGGGACTCCAATCTATTCAAGTGCACGAGGCATTTATGCTTAAACCCAGTCAGGTTGCAAAATAATGGAATTAAAAATCAATCATATCCTCAATGATTGCCATTTTGCTTCCCCTTAGTAATTTCATTTCCAGCATAATCTCTCAATTAGTAGAACTGGAAACAAATACTTACTGCTCTCAAAGTCTTTGCAATCTAGCTTTCAAGTGTTGGAAGCTCTAGCAATTTTTGAAGTACAGGGTGTTTAAATGTCAAATAAATTGTGGATAGCGGGTAGCAACATAATAATGTGAATGTGATTGTGGTGTGGTATTGTTTTGTTGTGTTTTAATATCTGCTATCTTGCTACCTGTTGGGGATAGGATCCTGTTGGCAGATTGCACAAAACACTCTTTGAACCATTAACTTTCTTAGGGTATGTCTACACTACCCTCCTAGTTCGAACTAGGAGGGTAATGTATGCATACCGCACTTGCTAATGAAGCCCGGGATTTGAATTTCCCGGGCTTCATTAGCATAAGCGGGGAGCCACCATTTTTAAATCCCCGCTGCTTCGAACCCCGTGCAGCGCGGCTACACGGGGCTCGAACTAGGTAGTTCGGACTAGGGTGCCTACTCCGAACTACCGGTACACCTCATTTCACGAGGAGTAATGGTAGTTCGGAATAGGACCCTAGTCCGAACTACCTAGTTCGAGCCCCGTGTAGCTGCGCTTGCTGCGTGGCTACACGCGGCACGGGGTTCGAACCAGCCAGGATTTAAAAATGGTGGCGCCCGGTTTATGCTAATGAAGCCCGGGAAATTCAAATCCCGGGCTTCATTAGCAAGTGCGGTATGCATACATTACCCCGCTAGTTCGAATTAGCGGGGTAGTGTAAACATACCCTCAGAGTGCAGGTCCTAAGCCATTTCTCAGAAAGAAAGATTTGATCTCTATGATTTAGTTCTGCATGAATAAGGTGCAACCATCGCAGAGGCTAAAATCTGAATAATCCGATTTTGTGTAGTGTGCTAAACAGAGGGTTTCCAGGGTCTCAGGCTCTGCATTTAGACCACTACATCGTTTGCTCGTCTGAACTCTCTCCCTAAGCACTAGCCCAGTTTATTCCAGAGCCTCTTTATATAGCCCAGGGGTGTCCAAACTTTTTTCAAAGAGGGCCAGATTTGATGAAGTGAACATGCGTGAGGGCCGACCATTTTGCCTGACATTCTTTGAACCATTAAAATTAAATGCAAATTAACTATTTTATGCAAAGTTTATTGCAAACGGCATACTTTTCATTTCGTCACATGGATGACAAATCTAAACAGGTGTTAAATCACTCTGCCTTTCATATCTGAAGGCCAGATGAAAAAAAAATCCAGGAAGCTGAAATATATGTCAGGAACATTGTAAAGTACATTACATATTATTGGTAATAAAGGTTGTCTGTCAACTTTTAAGTTCAAAAAATATGAACAGGAACATAACACCAAGTATACATGTTGTGTCCAAATATATTTATAACTGATTTAGACCAACTGACATTAACTGAGATTTTACAATGTATTCATCTCAATACATATGGATTCGTTGGGGGCCATAAAAGATAGATATTGCCAAATTACCTGTGAGGCCGTATTAAACCGGAACATGGGCCGCAATTGGCCCGCGGGCCGGACTTTGGACATGCCTGATATAGCCTGAGTGCACAGTTTGGATAGTGCAGATGCATGATGGCCCTCCATGTCTCAGATGATCCTCACCATGTCTGAATGGAAATTGCTGATATCCACAGGCAAGAAAGCCGAGGTACGTTCAGAGTCTAGTACCACTGTTACATAATTATATAATTGCACTGAAAATTGCCTTACACTTGGCACAAAAATTAATCAGAGGGAAATTCGAGGAGCTTATTCTGAACCCATATCTGCATGAGCTGCCATTAACAATTCTGCTGACTTTTAAAATAATTTTATCTTAATTTAATCTCATTGCAAAGAAAAAGTCAAATAGTGCTTAACGTTTAAAAGCATGTCAAAAATTGAAACAGTTTATTGCACAAGAAAAAATTTCGTTGCAAATTTTAAAATAAAAAGCAGGAAGAAGGGCGTTGCTCTTTTACAGTTAATATTATATATATATATAAAAATATCTGGATTTAAGGCCTGATGCTGCAAGGTGCTATGTACCTCCTGAGAACAACATGAATCAAGCAAATGATAATAGCATCTAGAGCCTCTCTCTTTTAAGTCTCCAGTTCGCAATCAGCTGAGTTCACTTGCACTTGAATTGTTGCTCTTTGATTGCTATCATGTAAGATGAGACTCCCTTCAGGTCCTAGCAGACAAAAGTTTGTGTCAGTTTAGTTGTTGGCAGTCTCAGTAGGGAGATCCAGGGTACAGAATTATTTTCTGTATCATTCAAACTCCTACAGGGGATCTCTCCAGAGCAAATTTGAGGTACATTTATAGGACAAGCACACATCTGTACTATTCCAGCTGCAACTGTACCTTTCCTGCCAATAAAGCTATCAGTTGGATACCTTTTACAAGAAATACACAAGTGTGCTAGGCCGAGATCCTGCAATGTGGGTTGGCTTAGGAAGAGAACCCCATTAATTTCTAAGGCACCCCATGCAGGTGTAGGAATACATCTGCATAGATCCACATGCAGGATCAGGGCCTTTTCAAGCAGTTAGCATTGAAATTATGTTGATCTTACTTATGTAAATCCAGTGTATAGCAATTCCAGCTAATTCAGTAAAGTATAATCAGCAAGTGACATTGTTATACCACCCGCCCCCATAAGTATTTTTAAATATTTGGAAAAGCTCTCAATTCCATTCTCAATCCCTTGATCTATTCAGATGCCAGAAGGTACAAAGCACCTTGCAGTGACAGGCTTTCAATCCAGATATTTAAATCTTGCGTTAGTGGATTTAAAAGCAAAATATATCTTGAAAAAATAGTAGATTCTGATTTTTCTTCTTTTTATTAAAGATAAAGGAACATTCTTCATAGTGTAATAATTAGTATATTTCCAGTTTGGCTATTTGTCTTCCCTGTGGCTTTAGATCATGTCATAAATGCCAGCAATAGGGCACACAGATAACTTTAATCATGAAGAGATAGGGGGAAAAATCCATGCTATGAATCTGAATTAGAAATGTATTGGAATGGAAATGAATATCTGTCAGTAGTTTTCTCGTTCAGTGTTATGTAGGTTACCAGGGTGCTACTCGTATAGCTAAATGTTCCATCTACTTTCCATTTTGTATATTCATTGCAAAGAAAAAAAAAAGAAAAAAAGAAAAAGTTGATGTATTACCAGCTCATGAGTATCTTCCCTGAATACAAGTATCTTATAGTCGCCTCCATGGAAAATGTTTTCACAGTGAATCCCATTCATTTACTTTATCATTCCCACCTCCTCCCATTCTCAAGCACTTTACACACCAATTTATAAACTACAGCAAAAATGTGTTTTCAGAACTTTGTGAGAGTTTTGATAAGGCTGTTGTGGTAGGTAGTAATTATTAATAGAGATAACACTTCTAGCTGTAAGAACATGTTCTTTTTTGAAGTAAAACTGAGAAGCTCAGTCCTTTCATAATTTAGAAGTAGTTCAAAATGTTGTATATCTTCTGCCTCTTGAGGGATATACATAAATTACTGCATAGCAATCATATTTGATAACTGAGATTACTATTATAATAACTATAGCAAGACTTCCAAAAGTATAGCTTTCAAAATGCAAAATAGTTAGTCCAGAACAACATTCTATTACCCTTTTTCTATTTTGCTGTCTTCTTTCATTTGAAAACTAGGATTTCCACAAGGCTTCTCACAACATTGATTACATTTTACAGGATCAGTTGTATTTTCCACATTCACTTTTCACTTACTGGAGATACAGCTTCACCTGTAATTTTGTATATTCCATGTAAAAAAGACATGTAATCACAAATTTGTTACAATCCCAATCCCATAGTAAAGAATTTTAATACGATGGAAAATGCATACAAGGGCTGAATCCAGTAATCTTGGACTAACCCTAACCATACTGATTTTCTGTGTCCATCTAAAAAGCAGATTTTAATTTCCTTCAGTTAATCCCTAATATAGTAGTTTCGACACAGTTCAAAGATGCTTTTTTTCCTTGTAACTAAAATTAAATTGCACAGTGTGTTAGATCATTGATTAAATAAGTGAGGGTGATAAATGGTTCATGAGGCAGATCGCAACAACTGTAAAATACAAATGTCATTTTGAAATAGTCATTATTTATTTTTTCTTTAAATACTATGTTTTAATTCTAGCACTCTGGCATTGGTGGAGCAGCAGCTGGCAAGAAGAACAGAACTTGGAAGAACCTAAAACAAATTCTTGCTTCTGAAAGGGCATTGCCATGGCAACTCAATGATCCTAGCTGTAAGCTGCTTAGATGCTTTGCATGTATTTATAAATAATAAAATCCACACAAATTACTTTCTTTAAAATGAACCTAAATTTTATCTATGTATGCAGTATCCTGACTGAGCAAATTCCAATAACTTAAGAATAGTCTGACCCCACAACCAAATGGAAAGGAACATGAAACAATTGGGAGCTGTGTTAGAAAGTTTGTGTATGTTTTAGAGAAGTTTGTGAGGAAAATAAATCTATTTGAACCAAGGGCCTGAGTTTCTTACTCAGGTCAAAATGATGTCACCTTTATTTATGTTGAGCATTATTCTAAGGCAACCAGGGGCGGTACTTGTGATCTACTTTGGAGTAAGGTATTGCTCATCATGAATAAGAGAGGCAGAATCTAACCCTCAGTTTTTATCTGGGCAATCTATAAGAAATGAAAAAACAGCTCGGGAATTGTGTGTTTGCAGTTTTCATATTTTATCAGTCTGTAAGGGAATATCCACACTGCAAAGAAACCCCCATGGCAACAAATTTTAGTACCCAGTCAGCTGATTCGGGCTTGTGCCATGGGGCTAAAAATAGTAGTGTAGATGTTTCTGCTTAAATTGGGTCTTGGTTCCTGAAACCCAGCAAGAAGGTGGGTCTCAAAGCTCAGGCTCCAGCTTGAAGAGGAATGTCCATATTGCTGTTTTTAAATCCATAGCACAAGCCCAAGTTAGTTGATTCAGTTTCTGAGACTTACTGCTAAAGGATTGTTGGGGTTTTGTTGCGGTTTTTTTAAGTGTAGGCATATTTTCAAGGGTTTTATCCAAAAATAACTGGCCAAATTTAAAAGTGTTTTGGAGACTACTATTATAAAAAAATGCAGATGACTGCATGTTCCTGGCTGTTATAACTGACAATCTGCTGATGTTGCTATTTCCACTATATTCTATTTGTAAAAGTAAATTTACTCTTTAAAAAAAGTAGAAAAACAAGTGTAATTGCATATTTTAAAACAGTTGCCTATTGCATGAATATCTTTTGAATTATTGCCTTACAGTGCACATGACGATTAAAGGATCTGATCTGCTAAATTGGAATCCTTCATCCATAAAATCTGAATCAGATGCATTTTGGGGGAAAGAAGCTAGACATGTACAAGATAATTTTGTGCATATCAGTATTTTGTTGTTAGGTTTTTTTTTTTAAACTATTGGAACATACGAGTTATGTGTGATTGAAGGTTTGCATATAAGAACAATGCTATTGCTGACTAATGGACATCAAAATAGCAATTTCCATCTTTTCATTTAAGTATTCAGACAATTTTCTAGGTCATTGGCCACGCTTGAAGTGGCACATGCCTAAAGATTTATCTGATTTAAAAGATTACGTTGCTTTTGTGGATTACAGTATTTCAAAGCTTCAGCCTTGAGCAATGTTTGGTGGTCTTAATATACAGCAGGCATAGTGACTATACTGGCAGAATTATCTGACTGTAGATAAAATACAGTCATTAAGACGTACATGAAACCAGTGTGTTTGTAGGACAGTACAAATAGTTGTCTTGCATTTTTCTTCCTTTGGGGCCACTCCTACTCACCTTACTCTTGTCAGTAAGGCAAGCAGGATGAGGGCCTTAGTGTACAACAATGTTTCTCAAAGCGGTCCACGAAACTACTTTGAGAAACCTGCCACTCCTATATGTTTATTTATCAGTTCTGTGGCCACAGAGCCTCACAGGTTCCATTGGCTCTCATTCACCATTTGCAACCAAGGGGAGCTGTGGGAAGCGGCGTGGCCTGGGCCACCGTTTTCCATAGCTACCCTCAGCTGCAAATGGTGAACCAGAGCCAATGGGAGCCACAAGGCTCTGTGGCTGTGGAGCCAATAAACAAATACACCGGAGCAGCCAGTTAGCAGGTTTCTTAGGGTGGTTTCGCAGACCACTTTGAGAAACACTGGTGTACAAAGACATCAAGCTAAATGTTTCCATTTAATATTTCTTCAAGTCTCTTTGCCATTCTTTTCATGGAGGTTAGGTCCATAAAAGGCTATTAGCCAGGGGGTAAGGAATGGTGCCCCTGGCCTCTGTTTTGTCAGAGGCTGGAGAGAGATGACAGGAGACAAATTGCTTGACCATTGTCTTCCATCCACCCCCTCTGGGGCACTTGGTACTGGCCACTGTCGGCAAATAGGGCTAGAATGGACCTTTGGTCTGACCCAGTATGGCCATTCTTATGGCTAGTCAATATACATTTCACTTAGTAAAATTATTGCTTTTCAATAGTTTTAACAATAACAAGTGCTTTTCAAGTGTTATTTTTATTTTTTTTTTAAAAGGGTGACTCTGAAAAGATAGAATGTAGAAGTTAATATCTTAATTTTTTTCTTTTTGACATACCTTTTAGACTTCAGCATTGATGCTCCTCCTTCCTTTAAACCAGCCAAGAAATACTCTGATATTTCAGGACTACCTGTAAGTATTTTTTAACTTATCTAAGGGTACGTCTAGACTACATGCCTCTGTCGCCAGAGGCATGTAGATTAGGCTACCCGACACAGTAAAATGAAGCGTCGATTTAAATAATCGCCGCTTCATTTAAATTTACATGGTATGCCTCCTAGGATGAGGTTTACCTGGGTGGTCGACAAATACCTTTGATGTCGGCTCCCCTGCCGACATCAAAGGTATTTGTCAACCACCCAGGTAAACCTCCTGGGATGAGGTTTACCTGGGTGGTCGACAAATACCTTTGATGTCGGCAGGGGAGCGTCCAGACTATCACGTTGAGCCGACAAACAGCTGATCAGCTGTTTGTCGGCTCAGCGCGGCGGCCATGTAAATTTAAATGAAGCGGCGAGTATTTAAATCGCCACTTCATTTTACTGTGTCGGGTAGCCTAATCTACATGCCTCTGGCGACAGAGGTATGTAGTCTAGACGTACCCTAAATTGGCATCTCATTTCTCACAATACAAAATTAAGACGTATTCAGGTAGGTCCCACTTCAGCAATGTGCTTAAGCATGCCCCATTGATTTAAGGACAAACCTTGATCTAAAATGCCTCTGTATCACATGCTTCCAAGATCTAAGTGGACTCCATGGCTAAAGAGCCAAAGCAGATTAAAGGCTTTGCCTCTTGATATAGCTGCACAAGTTCCCCTATATTTCCCCTTCTCAGAAGTAGAATCTGGTTCCTCTCACACATCTACACATACTTCCCATTACAGGAAGGGACCTATTTTCAGTTGCTTATAATTTTTCCAAACTTCACCATTCAGGTCAAAACTTTCTATGTCAAATATCTGCCTCCAGCTTATTATTCTTAGTCTTATTTGGAAAAACGATTCAATAGCTACAGAGAATAAGATTAAAGAAAAAATCATTGTTTGGTTTGTGTTAAAAAATTCTTTCAGCTGTTTTATTGAGAAGCTCTCATGCTCCTGTGATTTGGAGTATGAAGTTGGAATTTGGCAATAATTTGATTTTGTGTCAGATGTATCTTTTTGCTACTGTTGTGGAAACACACCCAAATTTAGCCAAATTATAAGATGCCAGTTCAGATACGTTTAGTAGAGGGTCACTGGAATTTGGCAGCTAAATTCTTCAAAAAGTCCATCTTCACTGAGCATAGTTAATGCTGTTGAATGCTGCCCTAAAGACTTGGAGTTTACTTTGATCTCTGCTACCAATTTCCCATGTGATATTAGTCAAGTCACTTAAACTATACTTTAAAATTAATTGTGTGGTTCCTCAGTTTCTGGATGCCTACCTTGAAACATGTAGGGTCTGATTTACAAAAGTGCTGAGCTGAGTGCAGAAAAACTGAAGCCCATAGTACAGTGGTGGGCAACCTATGCCCTGAGGGCCACATGCGGCCCAGCAGGGTTCTATGTGTGGCGCAGAAGACATTTGGTCTACTGTTGCCTTTGTGCAGGGTTTCTTGATTTCGCTGGCTTCTATCCAGGTATTTTTTTCCTGCTGGTATTACTGAAGTGACATGCACATAAAGCAAGGGCATGTGAAGTGATGTGTGTGCTGATTGCACACACCATTGACTGTGAGAGCTGGGTGCTCCCTCTGTATCCAATCAGAGTTCTGCTGTAGTTTAATTGGCACACCCCACAAGTACTAGGTATGCAAATGCAGTTACAAAAACTGCCCTATCCTGGGAGACTGTCTTGGTTACGACCATCTTGCAGCCCAGTGTGATGAAGGAGTTCCACTCATGCAGTCCACGTAGGTTGCCCATTGCTGCCATAGAAGCTTTGCTTTGAACATGGAAAGTACCATATAATGGTAAATACGCTGGAAAAAGCAGGCCCTGAGCATCTCAAACCCAAAATTGATGGACACTTTTGACCTTAAACTCTGTGCCACAGTTTCTATCCCTAAAGCTAGGAGATAATACTTCTCTACCTCAAGGGTATGTGAGCATAAATTCATTGTGAATCATTCAGATGCTGTAGTGATGATAGTCAGAGAAGACTGCCTGGGGAAATTAATATCTCTATTTTCAGAACAGGGTTAGAGTAGCTGCAGTAAATACAGTACTGAGCTACACATCAAACCATGAAGAGAAAGCAAAGCTCTGAATAGTTGCTTATTAAGTGAGCACTGTGATAGAATGTGATCACAGAAGACCCCCTTAAGGGTGCTTCCCCAGGTGCTGACAAAGCCACTGCCACTCGCCTTCTTGCTTTCTGGGGCTTCTCACCACCCCTGTCTTGCTGGATCTGCTCATATGGTTTCCCCCAGCCAAGGCACAGAAGTGAGATCACACACACACACACCCCACCATCTCAGGAGCAATATAGTCACTAAAACACTTCCGGTCTGAGAAAACTGCAGCTTAGGGCCCAGCTTCTAAGGAGACCACTCCCTAAATGGGATCAGAACCCCAAATGAATTGTTTAGGGAAGCCCCCTATAATAATGAAAGAAGGATGTACACACTGATTGCCCCAGGTAACAGTTATTTACAATGGGCTTGATAGTAAATAGTGATTTTTATTAAGTACAAGCAGTAGGATTTAACTAGTTACAAGTGAAAACAGGCAGAGCAAAGTAGATTAGAAATTCAAAATAACCCGCCTCCCCCCCAAAAAAGCTTAGCTAATTCTAACATACACTCAAGCTCATCACAACCTCACCCTAAAATTGTTCTTAAGATAAACCTCCAAAACCAGGGAAATCTCCTCAATTATCCTCTTGGGTGTGTCATGCTAGTCAAAGACCAAGAAACTGCTACTTCTAATTTCCCATTGTTTCATAGATTCCACTTGGGGTGGGGATTCTGTTTCTACATCCCACTCTTGCATGGAAATTACTTGGTCAGGCCCTACCAGTTGGGGAGGGGAGCAGGAGATCACATGAATTCTTAGGACCAACTTAGTCTTTAGCTAAGACTTAAAGGACAAAGGAGGCTGTTTACAGTTGATAGTCTTGACCATGGGTTCCCAAACTGGGGGGAGTGAAGAAGGATGGGAAGAGATCTGTCACAAGCACTATCCATTTTGAGCATCGACTGCTGCAGAAAAAATGGAATGTGATTGTGTAATTAAAGATTGTATTATAATGCATACACACAAGGGGGCTGAAATTAAACTTGTATGGGCAACATTAGTTCAGGCATTTTCTAACTTTTGAGCACTTTGCAACCTTAATTTTAACATATTTCTTTGATTATATTATAAAATAAAGCAGTTGGTGAATGACATCAAATGAGATTAATGTCTCCCATAGGATTCTTCCTCTCTGACTGATACCTGAGAAATTGAATGGACCACTAGAATCTCATCTGGCAGCTCCTAAATCTAGAGGGTTGATCAGTGGAGCCCTAAGCAGATCCAAAATTTGTATCTGTAAAAATGATTGCAGATATCCGCATCCACATCTGTGGCTATTCATGGACATAAAATGGATATTTGCAAATTTGCAGTTCTAGATACAAAATGTGTATCCATATCTGCAAAAATGAGAATCTGCATTTACATCCACGGATACAGACACCTGCAGATATAAAGCAGATATCCACAGTTTTGCAGGGTTCTGTCAGTCAGACCACTGATTCAGACACATGACTTCCTCCCCTGTCATTTGTGACACTGCTCATCATCTAATGAAACCACTCCCCAGCCAGCCAGTTTGTGTTTTTTAACTAGAATATTATCTCTATTATGATAGCACCCAGATCCCCAAGGAAGGATCTGAGTACAGTTGTACTAGGTGCTACGTGAACAATTTAATCAGACGTCTCTTATTCTATAGGTGAGACAGGACACAACAGGTAGATGAAATAGGCAAATAGGGTAGTTTGGGAGGATGAGATAATAAAACATCTTCTGAATACATCTTGGGTCAGATTTCCTATTATGCTTATGGCTGGAAGGTTTTTCTTGACTGTGATAAAAATATCTTGTTTAACAGCCTTTCTTATTAAAATAAGAGATGATGTGTCCTTTAAATTGCTGAGGCTAGAATTGATTCATAAGAAGCACATCATTTATACTTAAAATCACTTCCTAAAGGGAAGATGCAGTGAGTAATGAGATATCTTAGAAGTCTAGTCCAAAAAAGTCACCCTGTTCTCTGTGAGAAATCTCATAGCATTTGTGTGAGAATGTTTCCTGTGAGGAGTGCAGGATTCCCCAAGAAATGATATGTACAATAAATTCTTTAGCATTACTCATGCCAAGGAAGTATTAAATGCCCTGTCTTATATAAAATGAGGAGTGCATTAAAACTTTCTCCTCACTGTATCAGCAGTTATTTTACATACCACAACTGAATTCTGTTGATTCTGGTCTCTTTGTGTGTGGTAACACAAATGGAGTTATATCCCTTCATGGTCTAACAAGGCAGTCAATTTATAGTTTTAGTGTGGCATGTGTTAAAAGTTCAAAAATAATTGTATTTATGGATTGCATTTGCATTTTTTTACACACAAACTCTTCTGTTGAAATTTAGAAGATAGGCCTATGTTCATATTAACATACAGGTCAAAGTCATCTATCAGAAAAAAATTACTCAAATACTTGAATTTCTCTGCCTTTCATATCAGCTTCATTGCTGTAGAAACAGACCAAGATGATTACGTACTTCAAACATGATAAAAAGTATCTGTGACCTTTGACTTAGTTTGCAAAATTGCATTTCTCTGCTTTTTCATCTGGTTTAATTATTACAGAAATATTTGAAAAAGTTTTAATCAGATTATTTCTGGCATCATTTATCTGGAAATCACTAGATGGTAATTACATGTAGTATATAGTAATGGCTTGACCTCCAGTTTGAAGTATGACTTGTAGAGGATCCTTTCAGGGTCACAAAGTTTTAACAAACATTTCATGAAATGCAATAAATAAGTAGATACTATTTAACTGAAAAACTTACTGCTGTTGTCCCTTTAAAAATCAATCTGTTGTTTAGACTTTTTTTACAGACCTTGAGCCAAACTCAATAGAACTCAGATGTATTTACAAATATATACTCAGGATAACTCATTTCCATCATCTTGTATGATATTGGCCCTTCGTCATATCCTACATTTGCAATTTTCTAAAAACTACATGGAAAGGTTTATTTCTTTAAATATTTTCCGTGTTAAATTGTTGGTTTTCTCACTCTATATATAAAAAAAACTTTTCCTACAAGATAAGAGAGTGGTATCATCACATCACTCTGTGTCCTGTAGCCCCTCCCTCTGCCTACAGCCATTCAGCATCTCTCCTCCCCGGTGCGGCCTCCAGCCAGGCCCAGCCCAGTCCCCCAGTGACTGGGGGGAGAGCTGGGACTGCCAAGACCAGAGTGGGGGAAAAGGGTTTGGGTCAGGGCTGACCTGGGGGAGAGAGCTGGGCCTGGCAAAGACGGGGAGAGAAGTGGGCCCTCCCTGGCCAAAAAGGGGGTTGGCGAGCGCAGCGAGCCAGGGGCACAGCCACCTAGTTTACATTTTTTTAAATGCTACATGGTAATAGGCCTCAGTCTACTCTTCTATATAACTCAGCCATGGCAATTGACTAGATTGCTTCCCAATAGCCACGTACTGAACTTTCTCTTTTAGAGTCCCCCACCTAAATTATTCTGCCATGGAGAACATTTCCTTCCCAGCATTGGAACTGGCAAGGAGTTCAACACTACACCTTGAATTTGGGTTTACTTGCAATGTGCTTCTGTAGTTCTTCCCGTCCCTTAGCTTCTGTGGTAATATGCTTCTTCAGGAAACCAAGCTTCCAGTGCCTCATAGCCTTCCACCATCCCAAATCTCTTGTCAGGGAGAGCAAGGAAGGAAGGTCTCAGAGCACTGATGGGCACGACATAAGATAATGTGAACAGGGTTATTTCGTGTGGGCCTTGGGTGGAGAGAACAATACCCTGGAGAGTAGGGTGTTTCTCTTCTTGCTCTACCCAAAGTGCTGAGTGCGATAGCTAAAATACACTCAAGATTTCTAGGGCACCAGGGAGAGATGGTTGATGGGGTGGAGCTGGAACCTCATCTAGGAAGCTCTAATCCAAATGTAGCAGAAGTGGAGAATACAAACTAGTCCAGTGTTAGTGTTGTCACAGCTACATTTGGAATAATGCAAAACCCCGAGGTCAAATTTCTTATCAGTTCAGTCACAGAAACACAAGCTTTTCTTTTAAAAAACCTTTGCATTTTAAAGAAAACGAAAGCTACAAACCATCTGAAACAAGAAGAAAAATCAAGCCAAAGCTATCAGACCACCCATAACTCAGCTGCTTTATTGGTAACTTATTGGCACAAACACCATTCTTTGGCAAATTACTGTGTAGAAAACTGTATCAGATATATAGTTGTTAGGGTGAAGATAGAGGACTGTAGTAGTTTGTTTTCCTGCTGTGTACTTTTGTATGTGAAGGTCTTTTAGCACTTTCATGTCTAACGAATTTTGATGTAAAAGCTTTTCCATGGAACCGTTTAGTTCTTGTAAAAGTTTTGACATGTGAGGGAAGAAAGAAGGATTGACTTTGTCACATGGTAACCTATTATACATTTTTACATTTTTATACATATTATTATGAACTCAAGAAATGTTTTGTTTTGACATTTGTACTGAGATTTTTCTCTGAATGGTATCTCTGCCATTGTTTCTTTTCCAGGCAAATTATACAGATCCACAGAGCAAGCTGAGATTCAGTAGCATTGAGGAATTTGCCTACATTCGGATGCTTCCTTCAGATGTCGTTACAGGTTACCTGGCATTAAGAAAAGCAACAAGTATAGTTCCCTGAGACTTACCTTTGAATGACCAGTGATGGACTGGGATAACATTCAGTGTTTTAAATAGAATTGTAGTATTGAGGTTATATATAGGGGGGTTATTACAAATATATATTTATGTCTGGAAGTGGCTGGTATTGAACTGTGCATTCGAAAGAATGTTTAGTTTTAATTTTGATACATTTTGTCAGTTTTGCCATTAATTTCAGTGGGGCCAGGATTTCACCCTCGCTATTGTTATGTGTATTGATATTTGTCTCAGAAGACGAATGAGCGATCTGATTCTGAGTTCTAAGCTCACCTGGCATATGGATTTCCTTTTGTGGCTGTGGAAAAGTCACAACTTCTTTGCCTCAGTTTGCCCCTCTCCACAAATACTTCTCTGAATGCTGCTGTGGAAACTAGTTGGTTAATGTCCATTAAATGTATTGAAAATGAACACATCTGTACATGTGCTAATAGTTATATTGCAAACTTAATTATCTTAATATGGGCCATGGCACTGGGTGAGGAAATAGAAACACAATATTGGCATATTTTAGCAGTGAAGGAAATTGTCAGCATAATTAAAATTATATACACAAACTATGATACAAGACTCAGACATAACGAATAGTGAAACAAGGGGTGAATTAAAGTTGTATAGGCAGCCTAAATTCTGGCATTTCCTTAACTTTCGAGAGTATGACTTTGCAACCTTAATAATGGTCTTTTTAATGCAGTTTTTTGCATGAAGTTTCCTAGCTTTTTAAAAAAGCAATCTGAATGAACAGAAATACCATCATTAGCATAATATAAAAACCCATATGATTCATTAACAGGGTCAGAATCTTCAGAATCACAATACTGACCTCTGTCGCATGAACTAGTGAAGGTACCAATACGAGGTTGGCATCTGCGCTGTGGACCTGCACTAGTGGGGTATTAGAGATATTGATGACTGATTTCGCAGATATCTGTTGACAGGAGAGTAATGAGGAGACTCAGGAATCTTGGATTCCATTCCAGGCTTTGGAGGGCAGTGTGATCTAGTGGGCATGATCTGTTGTGCCAATTCTACCTCCTCAAGCATCATTCCTTGTGCTTCAGGCTTTCCAGTCTCTGTCTGTTCTCCCTTCCCCATGCCTGGCTCTCTGCCCCAGTGTCCTTGCCCCACAAGTTCTCATCCTGCCCTTTTGGGCTCCCAGTTTGTTCATACTCCTCCCCCATACCTTTACTCTGTTTATTCCCAGATCCCTACCTCACTCTTTCAGCTCATGGTCTCTTAGCTGCATGCCCAATGAGTCCCAGTTCCCTCTGTCCTGTCTCATCACACAGTAATTCTTTGCCAGCTCTGGTTTCCAGTGTCACACATGCTGTCCCATCCATGCTTCCAGATCCAGTCTCCCTCCGAGCTACTTGTCCAGTCTATCTCTAGCTCTCTCTCCCAGTCTTTTGGCCCAGCTAGTACTTGCACCCCGGCTTCTTGTCAAATTTGTTTCCTCCACTTCACCTCCTCCTCACCGCACCACTGGTTCTTAATCCCATAGTCCTTTATTGAATTTTAATGGTCAAGTTAAAGAGAAATTGAGTCATTGTGGTCTTGTGGACTGAACCTGAGCGCATGATAGCCAATCTGTTCTAATGACAGCTCTGCCGTGGACTCACTGTGTTACCTTGAGCAAATTGCTTCATTGATGTCTCCATTTTCTCATTTGTGAAATGGGGCTAATAATACTTAGGAGTCTAAACTCCCAGCAATGAGTGTCTGCACTGTGTTTTGCACACACAGCCCTATATAAATGCTAATTATTATTATTATTATTATTATTATAGATTTTTCTCTACTACAGGGATGAATACACAGAACACTGTCAACATTGGCTCACTTGTAACTCCTAAATAGAAAGATTAATTAATGGGAAATTTCAAATTTTACTAGATGTATCTGGGATTTAAATCCCATTTTTAAAAATGATCCAATACTCAAAACAAAGTCAATTAAAATAATCTTTTTGATGTGCTTAGAGCAGGTCCCTCAAATCCTTGGATATTGGATAATGCCTCAACTATATCCCAGAACAGAAAATAATGTCAGTTAACATCAAGGCCACATTCCTGGTTATAATGTTTTAAAAGAGATGTTTTCTCCTTCCTTTATACACTGAGGATGTGTTTAAGATGAGCTTAACTTTGATATGAAATGTAATAGTGTAGTACTACTGTTACTATGGTAAGATCAGTGTTGCTTTGACTGGGCAGACAGCAGCTCAGAAAATTGGATTTCAACACAGGTTATTGGCTCCCACAAATAAATTTAAAGTTCTTTTGATACAAATCCCTACAGGCATACTTTAAGAGTCCACTTTCCCCCTCCTCCAGTTTTGTTGTAGCCCTGTTGGTCACAGGATTTAATAGATCAAGCATGGTGGAATAATATATTTTATTGAACCAATTTCTGTTGGTGGAAAGGACAAGCTTTAGCACTTCACAGAGGTGTTTAGAGTCTCTAGCAGGACTGCTATTGGGGGCATAACTATATGGAATCATACAATGTCCGTATGTAATCATATTTGTTTAAAATGTTCTGCTGTACAGCATATATATTTATATAAGTACATTAAATACTACTTTTGATAACCTTTGTCATATTGAATGAAATCATACTTACTAGAGGTTCTGATTGTTTTTAAAAACAATACTTGGTGACCCTTCTCTTGATGCATGTTTGTTAGGTTATCTTTTTCTTCTCCCTCTTCCTTGTTAGCTACTACTACTTTTTTAATTTTTTTCCCCCTCATCCCAAGTGACTCTCACAGATTGAGCTGTGGCGTAATCATAATAGGAAGTAATTCACCCTGGACATATAACATTAAACTTAAAAAAGTCAGTTTACTCTGTGGAATAATCAACATATACTTCAACTGGCAGAAAGTTGAACTATAAATCTTTTCCAATATCTGACTGTTAATCACTCGATCTTGGATCTGGATCTGCTACTATCATCTCTCATTTCAGCAAGAGCAGGATCATCTTTGTAATTACATACAAATTGAAAGTTGAACAAACCAAGAAGCTAATACATACTATTGAGGAGTAGTTCTTAAAATATATATTCTGGAGCATCTTACAGAGAATTGAAGACTGAAAAGAACATGTAACCTTATACATTTCATTTAAATGGTAATGAAAACTTAGAAAGGAAGACATTTTGAAACGGCAAACTTTTGGGAAGGGAGCACCTTATTGAGAGAATGGATTTTGACTTTTAAGACAGCCCCATGTGCAGCATTGTCTGCTCATGATTTTGGAAGGAGTTAACTGTTTAATGTAAAACATCACCATCTATAAGTTGTCACCCATTGATACAGGCCACCATTTATTTTAATCTCGAGCAGGCTGGTATTAATAAACTCTTATTATATTCATGAGTGATTTATCAACTGATAGTAGCACCCCATTTTCCCCTACGTAGCTGTTCCTCTATATAGAGCCATGTTGATGGATACCATGGAAAGCAGTCACCCTCAGAGCAGTGTTCCCTCTAAGTTGCGTGCCTATTTTAGGTCTGCCTCTGCTCCAGCCCCCGCAAACTGCTTTCCACGTTGAAAGTAGAAAGTTAGGGAAGAGGTAGGGGGAGAACTAAAGTGAGGGTGGGTGAAGAGAGTAAGGGGCTTGTGCTGAGGGGAGAGGAGGTGGCCAGGGCAGGAGAAGAAAGGAGCAGGCACCATGGAATAGGGTGGATGAGAGACAAATTCCAGGGGCAAAGAGGAGACAATGAGGAAAAGGACAGGAGTGGGGAGGGGAGATGTCAGTGGGGGTGGAAGAAGGGAGGGGACAGGGTGATGCTGGGAGAGGAGAGGGAGAGACAATGGGGGCAAGAGGGAGGAAGAGGCGAGGGGAGGAGTGGGTACCAGGAGAAGAGGGGTTGAAAGGAGGGGTGGGCATATGAGGAAGGTGGGGATGGAGCAAGTCATGTGTGGGGGCCTGAGGAGAATTGGGGCAGAGGGTGGTGAGGGGATGGGTACCAGCGAGAAGGAGGGCAGGGACAGAGAAGGGAGAGGCACCAGGAAAGTGCAGGGTTAAGGGAAGGTGCAGGAGCCAGGGGGATTGTGGGGGTTAAACAGAAGGGCAGCCACATGGAGGGGCGGGATGGGCACCAGACGGGAGAGGCAGGGCAGGTAGGTAGAGGGAGGTGTTAGGAGAGGGGATGGGTAGCTACGGATGATCAGAGTGGGGCTAGAGTAGGTGTGGGCACAGGGGTCAAGGAGGATGGGGAGAGGGGCAGGTCTCCAAAGGGCTGAGGGGATTGAGAAGGGAAGGAGCAAGGATAGCAGAGGGGGGTAAGAGGTGGGGGGCAGCAGCAGGCACCAGGGGAGCAAATGGGGCGAGGGGAGGGTGGGAGACATGGCAATAGAGGGAAAATAGAGGTTTATGAGATATTTATTAATAACTTGGGTGACAATGTGGTACACATCTGAACAAGTCACATGAACTCAATACTAGTGCACAAGAAAAAACTCACTCATAGGTGGAAAATCTTTTAAAGAGGGAACATTGCCTCAGACACCAACATTTTCTCACTTTCTTCCACCCCAGAATCTGGATCCTCATGGAGCCCCCACCGAAGGGTATCCACAGAATCTAAGAAGCAGGGGGATATGGTGAGGTGCTGCCTTTGTCTCCAAATCTGCAAAGGGGAACATTTGCTTTTCTTCAATAGGCCACAAATTTAAAACAAGTTTCATAAATTATTCTGTGAAGATCAATGCTGAAACCTCACATGAAATCCCTTCCCTTAAAGAGAAATGAATTATTATTAATAAAGTGAAGACAGTATATCACTTGAGAATTTATGAACTGGCTTCAAGGCTCTTAAAATCTGTAACTCATTTTTTGTGGCTTACATATGCACAGACTAGCATATAATTTTCATTTCTAAGATACAGTGGGAAGGAGAAAAGTTCACATAGATAATCAGATTCTGAAAAGATCAGATGTACAGTCCTTTTTAAAGAGCCAGCCCAGCAATATTTGTGTTACTAGAAAACACTTCAGTCACACTAAGAAGATGACGGTCCCATAAATATTACAAGAATTCATAAAAATGCCTGCTTATTTTTCTCATTTTAGCTTGTGTGTTCTGATTACAAACCACTTTTCTTTGCTTGCTGAAAAGCGGGTAGAATGTAATAAAGTAATGCATTTTCATGTAAGAAAAAGCATTCTGTTTAAGTCCACTTGGCATCTCCATGTACTGCTTGACTTGATTTTCTATTATCTGAAGAGCTTACATCCAGTAGTTTCAGATGACTACACTATTGTAAATCACAGTCTAGGATGCAATGGGAGTAATCTCTTGAGATGCCTAATAATAACTAATAAACTGTGGTTAAAGTACTGGTAAGTATTGCTTGTGTAATTGAATAAAGTTTATGACCTATGAGATCACAGGTTTTAAGAACACAACATCGCTTTCCCTGCTGCTGTAGCCTAAAAACAAAAAGTATTACATATAAATCGTAACATTAGTGGACTAGATCATGAGATTTTTATATTTTTAAACTTACTGTTGTCAGCATCTTGCCTCCGGGGTTTATTCTTCTTGCAGTTACTTAACTGCAAGAAATCAGTTATTTGATTCTGTTAAACTTTACATTAGTTTAATAGCCTAGCATCTGTCCTTGTGAATTTCAAAAGTCTTCCTCAATATACTATAACTGGGACTCTCTGCTGACCTTGACTTTGCACAAAATTCCACCAAGTGAAAGGAATGAAAAAACGGACTCACCAATGCAGCCTATCTGTACCTCACAAATGAATGCGGGACAGATCACTTTTTCCATCTAACAAGTTTTAATTAAACATGCAACTTCCTTTATTAAACATGGGGTAACAATCCTTAAGTGCACAGATTTGCAACCACAGTTAAACTATCAGCTGTGTTAGTCTGTCACGTTAAAAATAATGAGTAGTTCTGGTTGTGTCCTTAGGGAACTGCACACAGATTGGTCAAATATCTCGTCAAGCTAAGGGCTAGTGAAGGAATTTCTTGACAGCTTAAAAATTACTGTCTGCAGGGGGAGGCTAGTTTCAGAGCACACAAAAAGCAGAAGCTATTCCAGACTCAGTTCTAAAAACACACGAGTTAGCTCAAGTTGTAATTATAACTGAGTCACTAAGTAACAGGCAGCAAAATATAGTTAGAGTCAACCTCATCCCATGAAGCAAGGTGCCCAAAACCAGCACTGTAATATTAAACCCCTAACAAATAGGGAATTTCACTACAAATGAATGCTAGTCCATAGAGGCCCTAATTCAAACAAGGAAACAGAACTGTAGGTAAGACATACAAGTTACTTAAGTGAACCATTATAGTGCTACACAAAGGGAATGTCTACACTAGCTCGGTTGTTCGAGCTAGGTAGGCAAATGAGGGCAACTGGAGTTGCAAATGAAGCCCGGGATTTAAATATCCTGGGCTTCATTTGTATCTTCCCAGGCGCCGCCATTTTTAAATCCCCCTTAGTCCGAACTCCGTGCCGGCAGCTACACGTGGCACGGAGTAGGTAGTTCGAATTAGGCTCTCTAATTCGAACTACCGGTACACCTCATTCCACGATCCTAATTCCCTTTAGAGTAGGGAAATTTGCCCCAGTGTAACAACATTAATGTAAATAAATCATCCCATGTTGCAATTTACCCTAGTGACATAGAGTTGGCATTAAGAGTTTGCACCGGTGGAATTATACCCTTGTAATTTTATCAATGCAAATTTCCCATCACCTGGACAAGCTCTAAACATAGCAGCCCAAATGGCACCTATCACTGTAGGTCAATTTCAGATTCTTGCAGTAACAGCAGTGTGGGTTAAGGTCAGAGTGGCAGTTAAGACAGGATCTATGCTACAGACCTATATCGGTATAATGATGTTGCCTAGGGGTGTGACTAATCCATGCCCCACCCAAGCAATGTAGCTATACTGCCCTAACCCCTCTTGTAGACAGTATTATGTCACTGGGAGAGCTTCTCCCATTGGCATCGCTACTGCTTCTCTGGGAGGTGGATTAACTACATTGATGGGAAAAGATCTTCACTTAAGCACTGCATGGGTGCAGCTACAGCGTTTTCAGTGTGGCCCAGGGATGGGCAATAATTTTCAAAAGGGGCCACTTCATGAATTTCTGAAGACCAGGATACCTCTTGTGCTCCCCCACCCACGGACCCTAATTGGCCTGAGGATGGGGCAGCACAAAGTCTTGTCCCCCACCCCAGTGCCTAGAAAGAATCACCAGCTGTTTTAAAACAGCTGGTGGTTCCCTCTAGGTGCTGCAATGGGAGGAGACTTTGCGTGCTCCCCCAGCCCCAGTCTTGCCAGGGGCTTGTGGCGCCTAGAGAGAACTGACAGCTGTTTTAAGGCAGCTGGTGGTTCCCTCTGGTGCCACATGCCTCTGGCAGGGGAGGAGACTTTGCATCCTCTCCCATCTCCGGTTTTGATTGGCCTGGGGGCAGGGGAGCAGCAGGGCAGCTGCGGGCTGAATGCAGCCCACAGAGGCTGTCATGCCCACCCCTAATGTAGCCCGACCCAAAGAACTACAAGTTTAGCTTTGATATTTGTTTTGGCTAAATCATTTTAAATG